CCTACTCGCATTTATATTCATCCCGGCCGGCATTAGTTTTTGTTTGCCTTTTGTCTTAGCCATATGAAAAGAAATTGGCGCCCGAGCAGGGACCTGTTTGTTGGTCAGAACGGGAAAGTTGTTCTTTCGGGGGATCGGGGCGAGTCTGGCGCCCAAGTGCAATTTGTCAGGCTCGTGACTGGCTCATGGAAATAGTGAGCGAGGAAAATGCTGCGAATTGCTGACTCCGGAATTGGGAATCCGGCAGTGGGAAGGCACCTCGCTCCATCTTGGCTCGCTTCATTTGTTGGCTTAAGTAACTTAACAACTTTACGCTTGCAACTCGCGTACGCGACTCCTTCGGCGACGTCCTCTTGTTTATATTGATAATGTGCCATTTATTTTATTTAAGGCATGAGCTGGCTGGCTGCCTGGCTCCCTGGCTCTCTAGCTCGATCTGCAGTCACGTTCTGGGTTTCCCAAGGAGCAGGCAACGGCGACAGGACGAATGAATTGTGTAGGTTTCAGCAACTGCGAAATGGCACACTCGCACACTCGCACACATGTGAGTGTGTGGCTATGTGCAAGGACATGCCACAACTTGCTGTTGCATAATGCATTAAGTGCTGGTGGGCGAAATATCCTGGGTGGCAGCGGGAGTTGCTCTGCTGAGTTATTGACTTGAAGTTTGTTGCGGAATTTCCAAGTGCAACGTGTGTAAGGCATAACAAATTAGGCGCGCCTGGCAGCAGAATGTTGCAGCATCCCAAAAGGGGGGTGTGGGTAGGGGCATAATGGCAGGTGAGGGGACAACAGACTGCACTCGAAACTGATTTCGGCGATGCCTTAAGGCAATGGGGGATTTATGCAGTCTTATGGGGTTTAAAGTGGCACAAAATGTTGACAATGTGATGGAGATACCTAAGAAATGTTTAAAGATCTGAGCAGCATCTTCAAGATAGAGTCCCTGCTCAGGCGCCATCTATTAGATTTCTTTATATGAATCAAAATAAAATAATCTGAAAACAAAAACCTGGCTCACAAGACTTTGGCGGAATGACAAAGATATCTTTCAAATCTTTAAAGATTGACATTCGCAAATAAATATTGGAGCAGCGACTTAAAATCGATAATAGGCTCAAAACAAAGTCTCTGTTTGGGCGCCACTTTCAAATAGCCATTGATGCCCATTCAAAAGTTTTTTTTCTATGTAACGAAATCTGAGTAGAAAAACAGGTTTGACACTATTGATAATCGCTATAAATACACACTGACAAATTCCCTGGCATTCATTCAAACTTCTCACCAATTACCAGAAAAATCCCATTTTTGGCCATTCGCAATTTCAATTGATTCAATGACAACCGCAAAGTTTTCGCTCTTTTCCTCTACATTTCCGTTCCTTTCTTTCTTACTTCACCATTAATTTTGAGCAACTATTGATGATTCTTCTCTTCTTTCGCTTCCTCTCATAGCTGTGCGCTCTATTTCCCAATTTCTGGGAACTTTTATTTAAATTGGATTTGCTTTTTTGGTTTATTTTGTACATTAAGTTGCTCTTGCCATTCATTTCTTCTGCCCGGCTGCTTATTATTATTATCGATTTCAATGCTGCCCAGCAATTTCTCGAGGCAAATCGGAGGAGCGAAGGCGGTGGAAAAAAACATAGATAATGGAATTAAAAATAATTGGATGACATTGAATATGTGGGTGAACGAGCAGAATCAGAGTTATTTTTTGTTTAACGTCTGCCAGTTCCTGTTGTCTTTAAAATTTAATTACCAAAGTATTTCCGAGGCGGCCCGAGGCAGACCGGAAATTCAAGCGTCAACTACAAAATTGGAATAAACAACAGAAGAGCCCCTGAGGAAGGACGAGGAGCGAGGATGTCAAAGTGGCCGGCATTGTTCTCCAGCCATCTATCTCCCTCCTTTCTGGGCGGAAGAGTTGCCATTTTCATTTTCATTTTCCTTTGCGGGGCGCCATTTTCTTTCATTCTTTTCGACCATAATTTGCATGGCATGGGAGCTTGACTTTTGTCGGCCCGCCCCTCCAAAGGAAGGGGCAAGCTGGCGCGAAAAATATGTTGTTGCAGCGGCGGTGGCCGTGTTGGCTGGGAAATATAATAGAAAAATAAGGTGCCACACAATATGGCCGAGAGCTTTACAGTTGGTTAAGTAGCAAAAGCGCGCGAAGCGGCGAAAGGACGCGGTGGCGAAAGGCGCCGGATAAAGTGGCACCACCAGCCCAGAAAAACGCTCGATGAGGAGGAGTCCTCCAGTCCTCCAGTCCCCCAGACCTCCAGAGCTCCATCCTTCCACTTTCCAGCGAGGCCATCGCATGGCGCCCGAGCATGGCGTGAAAATTGTGTTGACAAGAAAATTATAAACCGGAAAATGTTTTATGTTGTGGCGGGCTTTGCGATTTTTCTCATTCTTATTACCTCCTCTCACTTTCACACTGATCACCCATCCCTTTCTTCTGCTCTGGGTCGCTTTCCAAGTGGCTTTTAAAGTTTCATCTGGCCCATTGTGGTCAAATTAAATTGGGGGAAATTACCAATGAAATGATGCCAATTTGCTGAAAGGGTCAGAGGTCACTAAGCGAGAATGAAACGCTTGGCTGAGCTAAAAGGCATTCAAGTTTGCGTAGAATGTTTTGTAAATATCTAATGGTAAGTGGGAAAACGAAAGACTTGGAGAAACTAAGGGGCTTATTATTCTAGTCATACCTATGTTATATAAAGAACGTTCAAAAAATACTTTTTCTAAAATTAATTTTTATTTAAATTTGAGGTAATTAAATTTAAAAATCCAGAAGTACATTTTTTACTTACATTTATAAATTTATATTTCAAAAAGTTTTTTTTTTTAGAAAATCAGAAAATCTAAGACTGGATAAGCCCTCTAAGCCCGACATTGACCCACTTTTTATTTATTATTCCGCCTAAACTATTTCTTTCTATGGAACTGGCATTTAAAAGTCTATAGCGCAATAAATTAGTGTCGCGGCAATGGGAAAAAGTTTAAACACAGCCGTGGAACACGTGTATACATGGGCACACAATCAGGGGAGTCGTACATAGGCCTTTCGTCCTCGAACTGGCGGCCTTATATATGTAGATATATATAATGTGCTGGTTACTTGCCACGTTTAAGTTCGTTAAACATTTAAGCCCAGCTCGTTTTGTGTGTCAAGCATACGAGTGTGTACGTGTATGAAAGCCCGGTGGGGACAAAAAGAGGTGAAAATGAGTGCAAACACACTCGCCTACAATTACAGCACTCAAAAGGGGCGAAGAACAACTGGGCAAGGAAAATGGGAAAGTGGAAAAGTGGAAAAATGCGGCGGAGGAGGCTGTGGGAAAAACGCTCGGCGAACGAAATTGCTCGGCAACTTTACTGCATAGTTAATTAATAGGATAACACAATTAATTTGTGGGCAATGAATGTCTGAGCTTTATTTGCCCGCCCAGCTGGGCAAAAACTACAAGTGCCCAAGGGTCACTGGGCGTGTGTGTCCTTTCCGTTTCCATTTCCACATCCCATCCCGCCCCCAACTTGCAGCTGCTACTTGCCACTTGTACTTGCCACACAGATGATGGTGTGGATTCTGCAGTCAGAACTCGCTTATCACGCAGCTGTGGTTTCGGATAATTGCCAAAAGGCTTATGAGATTTCCGAGGCACGGCCAGAAACCAACCGAGAGGCACCCGACTGACCCGGCTCCTAATGATCCATCAAAGATAATTGGAAATGTTTTGGGGTTAGCTCAGATTAATGATGAAAGTCAGACGTTGCCCGGGAACCGGCCCGAGCTATGAATATTTAATAAGCATTCAAATTTGACACGGCTGAGATTGAGTCATAAGTGGATTTTAACTATTGTTGTGGTTATGCTGTCGTATGTGAATGCTTTCTAAACTGAATATCAATTATTTTAACTTTTCATAAGGAACTGGTAGTATTTAGATAGTTATGGCCATAACTACCCGAAGATAAACCCCACAAAGGTAAAAACTGGTACTAGTAGAGTAATTTTACTTTTCCGTTTTAAACAGTTTATTTTCTTCTTTATTTTTTAGAAGGTATTCCAATAAATTAAAAGCCTATTAAACACATTAAAGTTGTTAAGCAAGATAATAAAACCAAAGGAGATTTACAATTTCTCAGGAACAAAGGAAATGTAAGAGTATCCCTAATACGTTCATTAAGGCCCAGAACCTAAAGATAAGTATAGGGAAAAATGGGGGGACCATCCTGTGGCTCAATTAACAACGCCTCTGCAAAAAAATAAAAGTAGACCCAAGCCAACGAGCTACTTACAAACATCAGTTTTAACTATTGTTTGCACACTCGACTCAAGAGCGACAAAGTAGAATGGCACGGGGGGTTTCGCTGGGGAAAAGGACGAACTATGCCCAACTTTAAGGACTCGCTTCGGGTTTTGTTGGAATAACAAAGGGACGTTGGCCAAACAGCCTGCCAGCGACGCCTAAAAAGCGGCAACGAAAATTTTCAAAACGTAATTTTTTATGCTGTCACAAATTTTGATGGTGAGTGGCGATGCTAGCCACTATGCCACCGCTCCTGCTGATGATGATGGCATTTTGTCAGCATTATATACTATACATAAAATACCCCACTTTATGTTGCCATTCTTTGGCAGTTGTTTGTTTTGTTGCGGGGCAGAAACAAAGAGCTTAATAAAGAAAACACCAAAACGGGCAACTTAATTTTTTCCCGGTCCTCTTGTTCGGCATTGTCCTGAGTTTAAAAAGAAATGCTTTCACCCTTTTTTTGCTCGCCCACCCTGCTAATTTGCCGCGTTGCCTTTTTTCGGAGCAGTAAAAAATCAGGGAAACTGGAAACCTCTTTGCCTTTGATTTTATCTACCCTTCGGCAGGTTGTGTGTGTCAGGTTCAGGTTACGAAATTCAAGACATTAACGAAGATCAATAGAATCGGAGGGGTGTTCTTAAAGCTAAGGTCTTAACTTAATAATTGAATTTTAGAGCTTTACCTTGAAGTTGTCCATGTCTAAGAGTTGCGTGGCCTAAAAATCACTCGAATGGTGACAAACGGTTTTAGTTATTCAGTTGATTTTAGAGAACATTTTATTGGTTTCATAGTTGACATAGAGAAAACGCCCCGCAATTTTCACTTAGCTTAGTCCAATTAATTCTCCTGAGCTTTTCTCTATGTCCTACGGTTTTTATGGGGTTCGGGGTTTCGATGGGTGGTGGAACTCTCTTATTTGTAAGCCAAGCCAAAGCCTCTACTCGGGACCCAAGACCTAAGCCTCAAGCACACTCACGCACACAATGCTCAAGCTCAGCTCGGCGCTTCAGCTGCGTTTATTTAATATGTTTTATTGGTAGGCACTTAGAGAGACAGCCACTAAATATAGTGTGTATAGGATATATATAGAAGCACAGAGATACCAAAACGAAAATGGAGTTTATAAAGCACAAAAGCACAAACAACAAAAGCGAGACAAGATCAGTTTTCGTTGAGGCCCTAGACGGGGGTTCGGTATTGGATCATATCATATAGTATTTTGGTGGGATGAGAAATCATAAGTCTTAAAGCTTACGGTCTACGAGTCACACGAAGCAATAGAGGGGGTTTGGGAGCTGAGTGGTGGGGTTCTAGTTTGACTTGGGAGTACTGACCTTGATGCTGTCGTAGCAGGCGGTGACCTTGCCGTTCTGGACCTCCACGTTGGCCGGGGGATGGGCGAACTTGCACTCGGTGTCCTGGCGCGAGCATTTGTTGCGCTGGAACTCGCGACAGACCTCCAGTTGCAGCCAGCGAGAGTCCTTGCCGTTGAGCAGGCTGTTCATATTGACAACGTTGGCCATCGTGTTTGGGGTATAGATATAGAGCTAGTTGCTGATTACGGATCTGGGTTAGCTGGAGTTTATATGGTTTAGCCTAGCGACTAGAGAAAGTATTCTTTTGTTTTCTTTTTGCTCCTTCGCGACACGCACACAAAAAACACTAAATTCAAGAGCACAGATCAGCACCTATATATGTATATAGCATAGATCTATGGCAGATGTGGTATGATTTCAGTTGGTTTCTGGTTTTTATCGATTTTGTTCGTTAGCGTTTTTGGAGTACAAAGCTTTGGGGGATATAGCTGATAGCTTGGGCTATAATTTTGATTCAAATCGAACGCTTATTCAAATATATAGATGTGTGTGTGTTTATATCTATAGATAGACGCAGCTGTTAATTTGTATTTTATTTTACTGCTTTTGCTTGGGTGTAAGCTGATTTTACATTATCTGAAATGAGAGTAAAAGAGAGAAATAGAACTTTAGGATCGTACCGACTTGGTTGACATTCCAAGAAAGATAATAGAAAATGGCGAAAGACAGAGACAGATAGTCGTAGAGGGAGACAGAGCGATTCTAGATTCTAGGTATGAGTGTGTGATGTGGAAACTGATCATGTTTTGTATTTCTTAGGTTTTAGGGGTTAGTAATGCGCAGATCGTTGGTGTTATGGTTTATGCAGAATGCAATGCTCAAATGATAAGTAAACAAAAGACAGTCGACAGACATAACCCTTTCACTATGGAGTACTTAGTATAGATTGTTGCGATAGTTTCCTAGGCTAAATGAGCGAATGGTGTGCAAAATAAAAGTTCTCGTTCCATACAACTTATGATATAGTCACTAAAAATAGTTCACCAGACATACACAAATAGATATCTGGTGGATATAAAGTGGTTCGTATATATGTAGAGCGTGAGCAGCGGTTGGCGTCCAGTTGCAGCTTTCTGGAGGGGATTCTGTGGCGGGGTTCCGAACAGCCAAACAGCCAAGAGCCACAGCTAATAGCCAAATTAAGCCTAGCTCCTAAGGCAGTTCAGCGCAATGCACATAGACCAAATAAAAATTAACACTACGAATAAATATTATCAACTAAAGTGCACTATGGTCGCAGAGATATATGTATGTCCACGTATCTCCAGGCCGCCCAGCGGTGTATTTAGCAATTTTAAACGTATATATCTTGGATCATTAGCTAAGCAACATTTAAGAGAGAGACACACCGCCGGAGAGAAACTCACTTATATGTATTCAATTTTAGCAATTTCTTTTTATAGCATTGAAATAAATTGTTAAACGCACTTACCGCTCGATAGAAATATTTTATTTATCTTTATTTCGATTAATCAAATACTGTAAAAAATTGTATATTTATTTATGTGGTATTAAAGAGAAATGCATGGGGAAACAGTTACTTAAGATAGAGAGGAGTGTAGGCAAATTTCGAAAATCCAAAAGTGATTCAATCATCGATGACGGCACACAATATGATATTTATATTTTGTTGTTATTAGCATTTGAGTTTGTGTTTGTTTGCCTTCCCCCTTGCATTGTATTTTGTTTGGTTTGTTTTTATCTCTATTTCTGTTTGCCTGCCTGTTGCAAATGTTGTTGTAATCGTGTTTGCTTTGGTGTGTGTCTTTAATCTTATCTTATCGAAGGTGGCGGTATATGAATCAAAGTTTTTCGAAAAGGAAATCTATTAAAGCGCTCTTGCGCTTCTTGTTTTTGTTTAGTTTTAGTGGGGTTGGGCCTGTGAAAAAATGGTAGGGAGTGACAAACTAATTTTGCAATCGAAATTCAAGTGAATTGACAACAGGTTGCGATACTAACGGTTTTAGGTAGGCCTACTTTGGGTTTAAAATATATTTAATGACCTTATTCATACCTTTCCCTTGCAGACTGGCTAACATTTAAATATTTTTAAAATAAATTCCAATACTTGCTGAAATGCACATGTTTTCCCAATTTCAATTAGCATTCTTCCAAATACCTCCAATTTGCTATCTGACATTTTGGCATTTCGAAAGATATCGCACCGACACACCGACAGTAAATTATCTCAGCCAAGTCAATTTGGAAAGATACCAGCGAAGACAATTAATAAACTTTATAGAGTACACACACAATGACTGTGTTCTATCTGGTTTTTGTTAGTATATGGATTTGTGGATACGTCCGCATGATGTCAGCTGCAAATTGCTTTTCCGTATTTTAACTTGATTTCCAAAGATATAAATTGTGACTTAATTTATGAGCGGAGAAATTGAAGCCCCCATGTGCGCGTGTGTGTGTGGGCTAATGTTTACGGCATGTATTAAAATAATTCTTGAAAAGTTTTTCGGCTAAAACAAAAAAAGCAGAATACCGACCACGGGAAAAAGAACACGCAAGTGAAACAGACAGTCGCCCACACAAGCGGACGTGGCTGGGGATCAGGCTATGTGGAATATACAGAAGACATTATAGCCAACAGATACAGATACAGATACAAGTACAGAAATCGAAACAGCTCGAGAAATTAGCAGCCGTGTCATTGACGCAGTACGAAAATTTATGGCCAGAAGCGGGTGTGGAAAATGCTGCACGAAAATAAACTTCCCAATAGTGTTTAGACGTGAAATTGGGCCAAGAATAATCGAAGGTTCTCCTGCCTGCGCGGATGTGCACATATATATGGCACATATGATGTGTATAATGCGCAGATCGGTGCATCCGCCGACCTACAATCAACCTTCAGACGCCGATCTCTCAGATCTAAGGACACTCGCATCTCGCATCGGATTTCGGATTTCGGTTATTAAAAAATCATTAAGAGAGAAAAAGATATAAAAACCGACCGACAAAAAACGATGCAAATTGATGTATACCCAGACCCCAAAGACAAACAAGTTCAACAAGTTTTGTCCGTAGGTTTTGTTTTCTTTTATTTTCAGGTTTTTGGTCTCGTATCAAAAAGTGTTTTGAAGGTTAAACTTGCCGAAAAATAAAAGAAGGAGAAACACTCTGAGAATCGGAGAAACCAGCCACCGGGGAGAGAGTGAAGATTGAAAACTGTTAATTTTCGAGGCGGTTAACGCAGGTCCACTAAATATTTGTTCACATTCGCATTTCGTGTATAACTTGGACCTTATGTTTATGTAAGCTGAGTCAACACAAAGGCAGCTGTTCTGCCAACAGAATTTTTGGGGCAATCCTAATTGCATCTGGAATTGTGGGCTACATTCTCTTGTTTATGGATATTTTCAATTACATTTTCTCCTGGAGAATTTTGTTTTTCCCCAAAAGAAAGCCCAGGGGAACTTCGTAATTAATGAAAATATTTAATCTGCAATTTAAGAGTCTTTGGGGAGAACGTCGATTTTTAGTGGTAAAATTGAAAACTACAATGTATTCTGATTCACTACTTTTATGATGAAATTTAATTTATCAGAAAAGCTTGCCTGTTGATAAGAAAAAAATATTTAATATTTAAATTCCTTTTTAATATTTATTTATTGGCCTAGAAAAAATACAGATAGTAGTTATTTGATAATTAAAACGATAAGATTATCGCACATGAATCTGGTCATTATAAGATGTTAAAAAAAATAATAATTTATGATAAGTTTTTGAGTTTAATTTGAAACTTGTCTTAATTCGACTACCTCTTTTATCTAACCAAGCCACCCCAATCAATTATCCGTTCTTAATAACTTATCCGACCATCCATTCCGCAACACACATGCCCCATATATTACGTAGGCCCCATACACACAGACCAAACGAGAGCGTTCTGCTGATAAGCCGGCAAACCCAACAAATAGAACGCTGCAGTTCACAGTTGGCTGTGAAAGCGCATTGTATATTTTGTATATGCCATATACTTTTTGTGCTTTTTAGATATGAGACTTGTACGGAACGAATATATCAACTCGAGCGCCGCCGACTTGCAAAGTTATGACTAAAGCCATACCCAAGTCGCTGCAAATACCTCAGAGGGCCAGAAACAACGGCAAAAAGCAGACATTTGGCCCCATCCCCCCGGGCGACAAGTTAATGCATTTAAAGAAACATTTACGCAAGCGAAGCCGTAGCAAAACATCGGTCAGTAACCGCTCTGCAACATTATACAAGCGCCTCCAAATGCCGCAGAAGACCCAGGGCCCACCCCAAAGGTATGACACATATATTTAACGATGCGCTCGTAAAAAAAGTGAAAGAAATGGTTGAAAGCCGGGGGAGTGGCGGGGAAACCGCGTTCGACGGCTGCTATCAATAAACGAGATTAGATAAAAAGAGGGTGAACCCTGTGCAGTCATACTAAATATACATACGCCCTGTTTTCACAAAAAAAGAGGTGTATGATACTAAAAGTAAAGCTCTTTTCATATTTGGCGAGTAGCCTGATCAACAGCTGATTAGAGGAACAATATAAATAACTTATACATTCTAAATGTTATTTAACACAGTGCACTAGCATTTGGAAGCAGGAAACTCTCGGATCTACAAAACAAACCATCGTAAAACCCCATCAGAAGATGGTACGACTTAAATGTCAGCCATAAATGGCAAGTGGTTAAACGATCGGTTCGCTTCGGCTTATGTCATTCAGGTGGGTCGAAAGCCAACCAAGACGGCTCTATTTTGTTCTTTCAGCCAAAACTGCTCCAAAAATGGAGTTTTGACTTGCCTAATTAATTCCCATTGTCATCCATCTGACTCGGATAATTAATTTGGCAGTACATGATGCGTGGGTAGCAAATGTTTATTATTTCTTTGCTCTTTTAAGTTTCCTAGACTTTTGCGACACATCGTTGACTGATTTCTTTGACGCTGTTAACGTTTTTTTGTTAAATCTCTTTCGAAAGTTGGTGGCCAGATAAAAGAAATGCATTTATAAGCATTAGATATTGGAGGTTGTCCCTTATTTGGTGCGGGTATATCATTTAGCAGAGCTTTCGAATAGGTGCTGAAAAGATCTGCGGATCGATCTATATATGGTCCTACGGTTATGACTAATGGGAAAGCACAGAAAGCAAACCGTGCCGAAAGCGTAAACAAATGGATTCGATAGGGGTACAGCGATCTGATATCATAGCGGAAATGTGGGGTGTATGAAAAACGTAATATTTAGGAACACATTAAAGATTGCATTACTTAATTTTCATTAAGGAAATATACCTAAGCTAGTGTTTTGATGAAAAACTGCAATTTTGATCATAAAAACTTTCGTTTTTTTTAAAAACCTTGCCCCAGTCCCCAGATCTTTCAGCATCCAATAAATTCCACCTGATCTCGTCTTATTCAAAATCAAATTCAACGCCGAATTCATATTTAAATTTTCGTTCACACAGGCAAATCAATTTCTTAGACGTAAAACGCGATCATCAGTAATTACGTCAGAGGTCGGAAAGCTATAGCATATATATAGCTTTATACACACAAAAACGGGGCGAAAGAAGAGGCCGAAAAATAAAAGCGAATGGGGGAAATCAAAAACAAAATTCATAAATGAGAGCGACGGATCGCGGCGCTCTATCGCGCTCATATACTATTTTTTGGCATATTCATAACATTTGGCTTATCTTAGGAATACGAGAGCGCTGGCGGTGGAGGAAGAGGAAGAAAAGTCCGAGCACTACACTAAATGCCCAACCAATTTTCATAGATTTTTCTGTGCCTAATTAATTTTGCTGGCAACTCGTATTTATGTTTATATTTTCGACTCGTGTTGATGATGAACCCCGAAATAGACGAACCAAAGTGAGAGAATAATATTTATAAATGCAGAAATTCCTCAAAAATTCAGAAATGAGAACCGAGTTAATCTTTGAACTAATTTGTGTGTAATCACATTGCAGACGCGCCTCGGCAAACTCTCTCTTTCCTCATGCGAAAGGTCAGGCAATCAATTCTGCCTTCAATTGATCTCAATTGTGCGTTGGCCCAAGGGCCAGTCAAGGGTTAAAGATGTGCCGATGCCGATGTCGTTGACGTTATATTTCAGCATTATGCAAAGCGTCGAAACTTTGTCTCTCGGCCACAATAAAATGAACTTATTTTTGGACTGCAACCGAGCGCCGTTCCAAAAATGCTGCCAAAAAAATGGGGCGAGTGGGTTTTTCGGGGGCCTGTGGATGCACAGCTGCAGATACATCCAAAAGATACATCCAAAATGTGCGGCAGCTGTCGCTTGTTATGGGAGATGCTGAGATACTCGGATACTCGGAGGTACAACAAACAGCACCAACAACCGACGAAACACGTTCAAAATTTCTTTTCCGACTCTTCGTGTGGTTGTTGTGTTTTGGCATGTGCTAAGAGAATTATGTTAGGGTGTGCCAACTATATAATTGAGGAAGCTGAATAAAGCCGTCAATGGGGTGTGAAATCAATAATGGTTATCTTGTTTTTGACATGGCAATTGGTTCGAGAAAGTTTATAGGTAATTTGGAATATGATATAGTTCTACGAAGGTGCAGGAGTATAACGTTAGGGAACTTTTAGCATTAAATATTCTAATTTTTTGTAAGGGAAAACCATAAAAGTATCTTTGTTACTCTAAAATCTGTTATGGGAATACCTAATAATATTTTAAGTTGGTTCAGTTTAAAAACTTTGTGTTTTTTTTGCAAGTGCTTTTGCTAAGATTGAGATACATTTGTATCTTGGATTTCCAACTCCAGCTAGACCGAGTCACCCTGTTCCTACGATTCTCCCAACCAGATACAACAACCACATATAGATATTTGTTTTGTGTTTTCTTCTTTCTTTCGACTTGTTTGCTGCCTCAGTCGACGTCGCAGCTGCTGTGCGCTTATTGAAAAAGCCAAAAACAAAATCGCTGGCGAAGAAAAAGTTTTCGATATTTTTAGAAGGAGAAAAAAGACATGAGCACATGTTTCAAAATATCAAAAAAGATGAAAAACTAGATAGACCGAGAGGAAACGACCAAACCAAACTAAGATCTGAAAATCTTCGAAAGGAAACGAAATGTTTATTTGAATGCAAAAAACGAAAACTGGGAGAGATATAAAACAGAAACCCATCAAAAAAGATATTTCGGAAATGGAAATTTCAATCGATTTTTGTGTACTATTGGAAAAGTTCTGGCTTTTTTGCCATTTTTAGGTAAGCACACTGGGAATTTGTTAAAACCTTTCTTTCTCTTGAGATTTTGACATTATTTGTGTGTAAATAGATACAAAATCAATTAAAAAACTGTTTTATATATATTTCCTACCTCAAATAAGCAGGTTTTGCTCATAAGCAACTCGCATTGTTTTGAGTTTCTAGCACTTTTAATGCTAGACCTTCCGTACCTTTCGCCTGAACTCTGACACCTTTTGAGTGCTGTCATCTCGCATCAAAACTGAAATCGCGAGTCGGGCAAACAAACAACTACAGCGTTTTTTGCACACTTTCGACAACCGAAAGAGGGTGTTCCTATCGATATTTACGACCTATTGAGAAGGGCTTAAAGCACAAAACACTCGTACTACAAGTCAAACACATAAATATTTCTCCCAGCGACGATTTTTTCTTATTGTACTGCGGCATGACTTTTGGCGAAAAATCGAATCGATTAGTCATGCCAAAGTCCTCAAGTTTCCATCCCAATCCCCTTCACCCAGCCAAAATCCAAACCGTCTTCTGCCTCTCGTGGCGTTTAAGTTTTGGTTCGGGTTTGATTTTCGAGTGGAGTGGAGGAGAAAAAGTGAATGACTTGTCAGAGTGTATTGAACAAATGGACAGAAATAACAATTCATTTTGGCATTTTCCAAGCGATTTCTTTGACTCATATTTCTGCAGCAACACGTTTTTGACACTTTTGTCGATGATGATGGGCCAAAAACCCAAACACCAAAAAAGCGAAATGTGTCAAACTCTTGCTTTTCGTTTTCCAGTTGCCAGCGGGCAGAGCTAATTCAATTTGCATATCTCAACCGGAGGAAAACGAAACAAATCGGAAAAATTATAATAACAATCTTTTCGCAACTGAAACCGAAGCCCGGACCGAAATAAACATAAATTTAATGGTTACGACTTGGGCGGAGAACCACATAAAAAACGTGACTTTTCGTTAAAAATAAAATCTATGTGTTTGCATGTGCGAGTACAGTGCGTTTCGAGGCTCGTGTTTCGGTTTGGATTGTTTGTGAAACCTTCGAAAAATCGATTTCAAACAATTAAGGCAGTGAAAGAATAAATCCAGTAACCCAATCAGTTTCGTTTTGCAAAATAATCACATTAAATTCAAGAATCAAGTCTGTTTTCTGTTCGGGTGTCTAAAGCCATTAAATTTAACTTAAGCTTTCAAAACAACTTTGTTAGCCATTAATTTTGTTATTGATCATTTGCAGCTTTTTATTTATTGTCACGTGTGCTTTTCACAACTGCCCTACAGTGCCGAAACGCACTGTTAAAGATCGCTTGGCTCAGATCTGTTTATTTTTTACGGCCTAGGCCTTGCCCGGCATTAGAATAAATATTGCTAAATTTGCATTACATTTGAGCACGATTTGGCGTAGTATTTAGTGTACTCTGAAGTTAATTAACTGCACACAAGTAACAAATTCATGTAAAGTTGTTAAGGCGAGGGCTTAATAGTGGGGATATATTTGTAGTGTTTTATGCCCAATAGTGTGGAATAAGCATATCCATTTTCACCCTGACAAATTTGGTTTCCAATTTGTTGAATTTTAATTATTATTTCACGGTTCATTAGCCTCAATTTCAATTTGATTTTCGGTCATTAGGCTTTTCAGCGATCCAGATGGGCGAGATGTGTTTTATTTTAACGGATTAAGTAAGTATCTTTTTATTGAAATTAAGGCTTTGCGGGCTTAGTTAATTTATTGAACCTACTTATGTGGATGATTTTGGTTATGTATTTGAATGTTATGTATATTGTAAAAAAAAATAACAATTTTTTTATTATTACAACTTTTAGAACTGTTGTCCTTATCAGTTGTAAGAATTTAATTTAGTTTTGATTGGTTATACTACTTTTTTATGTAAATAGGACTAGAGATGGTACTACAAATTCGTTTTTAAGGGATTTACTTGTAACCGTCTCCGTAGAATCGATGTAATATCGATGTTTATAGACCTCTGAGGGCAGTATTGGAAAAGCACACTTGAAATTACATCCGTGCATTTGGTCTTATACCTTTTTTAGGGGAAACCCTAAGAGTATTTAAATTACTAGATATTGGAAGTTGGCAATCTGAAGATTCCTACGTTGTCTTGATGGAATTTTCTGCCCATCCGTTCCCACAGATTCTTCGTGAATAACTTTCCCTACAACAGATAGTTTTCCCTGGCATTAAATTTCCGCCTTTTCACTTAGCACCACCGAAAATTCGACAACAAAAACAAACAAGACCTCAAAATGTGGCAGAGGGAGAGGGAAGAACCGATAATAAAAAAGAACTTAAACTCAAGACGGAGGCGAGAAAGAGAGAAAACAAAATAACCAAAACAGAGAAAAAACACAACGATCTTTTTGTTTTTTAAGTATAAACACCTTCGGTAGTCCAGCTGACTTGTTGTTGTAGTTGTTGCTGGCGGAGTTGAAGTTGAAATCGTTGTTGTTTTTGTTGGGGGGAGAAAAGCGGCTGCTGTTTTTTCTTGTATTTGTTTACTGTTTTACTTTTGCGCCGAGATGGTGAATTGAAAATGTATTTTTAACCTTTTTTGTTTGCTGATGCGCTGGTGTGTGTGACTAAACACGCGAGTTGTTGTTGCTGCTGGCGGCACGACGTGACGTCATTAAGATGCCGGCAAAAAACAATGGATTTGCGATTTTTCCGGACAATTTCCCTGCAGCGCTTGCACTATTTTCTTCGATTTTCTTGCACGACTTTCGACAACTTCTTTTTTCTCCTTTTTTTTTATCTGTCACACACAGACAGGCGGCACACACACACTGTTATTCGGCACCGAACTCACACACACGTGCACTCGCGTTGTTGTTTTTGTTAACTTTTTCCTTTTGACAATCTGACAAATATTTCCGCGTTTCTAGAGTTGTCGCCAAAAATATTTCTGATGAGAGGTGATTTTTGCGGTGACTGGGCAGAATTACAGTGAACTTTTTAGCTGAGAGCTGCGGTTTCTTCGAGGGGTTTTCTTCAGTTTTTCGGGCAGGCTCTGCAACTCTATTTTCACTTTTCCGCTGACAGAACCGAAAGAAATGACGCTGCGCTCTACAACATGTCCATTCACGTTCAAGTTTTTTGTTGAACTAACTCGAAGTGCGGCTGTGTTGCCTGTTTTACCGAATGAATTTCGGAGGCGAGCGTCGGAGAGAGAAATTTCCCCGCAACTATACTCTTCGGCACTTCAGCCCGCTCTTAGATGGAATAAAGACCAGGTCTTGTGGTGGTGGGTTCGGGTGTCACAGGAATCTCTTAGAACCAAAATCTCTTCTTTAAGAACTAAACATTCTTCAGTCCAACCAGAACGTAAATGCAACCAGAAGTTAGTAAAATATTTCAAAAATACTTCTGGCAATTCCAATTCGACTAGCGGTTAGAAGAGAGTGTGCAAAATACTCTCTCCGCTCTCTCGGCTTACTCACTCCTAGTGCCTCTCGCTCGCACGCCCTGCGTAGAGTGGTATTTTTGTCATGCCCTCTCGCTCTGCAGCGCTCTCTTGCCCGCTTATTGGATTATTTTAACTGGAGTTACGTGGCGCCTCTTGAGTGCTTTTCGGTCTTATAAGAGAGCTCGGAGAAGAGAATTCGAGTGATTCTTAGGGGTTTTCCGCCCAATGGGCGGGGGGAGGTGCTGGGTGACGGGGGTCGCCGAGTTCAATGAAGGCGAGTCGAGTTGACAATCAACTAAAAGGTTAACTGGCCCAAAGCAGACAGACTTAAGCTTTTTGGCGTAGGTTGCGGACTATAAAACAGCCTGGCAACTAAACTGTAGTTTGTTTTCGCATTTCGGTGACTAAGTCTATGCAAAAAACCAGAGAATTGAGTTTTTGGCATTCTAAGGTCTAAAACAAATAATATTTTTAGTGTATTTGTCTTTGATTAACATATCAAAAATTGTAAAGCTCATTTCTTGGGAAGGGTATCATATAAATTTTAGGTATCATATAGAACATATCTTAAAATATATAATTAAAGTCACTCAGTGAGCTGTCTTTAGTCTGATAAGAGGGTCCCCATATATGATAAAGATTTTAATTTTTTAACACACGTGCTCAGGCTTTATATTAATGGCATCAATTTGTGTTTTTAATTGGCGCCATATGTTTGTTTTACTGTTTGGTTGTTAACATTTTGGAAGTGTTGGATTTTAATCACCATTAAATTAGTTATACATGACTTCAACAATCTTGGTTTTATCTGGTCTTTACGATTTCATAAAAGAAAAAATTAGTCTAAATTATTTATAATGTTGTTAAGTTTTCTTCAAACCATTTTGGTAATTGGTTATTTTAAGACTCAAAACCATTACTTAACCGTAACGAAAAACACTCCCGTCACTTTTACTCAATGCCAATTTGTAGGAAAACGATTTTCCGCCATTAACCATAGATACGCTCTATATTTCTGTGCATGTCTGCACCCTGCATTAGTTTTTCATATCGCCATAAAAATTAATGTTCTGCTTGCAGCTTGCTTTTGGGCCCGAGGACAGAAATAAGTGAACTTAGTGAATTGGAACTTTGCTCGCTCTGTCAAAGTCACCTTCAGAGTGGGTTCGATATGTTCTAAATCATTTACGTAAATGCATCCCATCCATATATCCGAATGCAGCCCAGCGGGCCAGAAATAGAAAAATGTAACGCACACACTGGCAGAACTCTTGACATTTCTATGTCATAAATTTGTTTCGTTCTTTGGATTTTTGGCAGCGGGCACCGAGCGAGAGATGTGGTTCCAACACCCCCCACATGGCAATTAAAATATGGGAAAAATCACCGTGTAGCTCTGTGTAGGCTAATCGTAATAAAAGTGAATGTAAGCGACTGCAGAACGAGAAATGAAGTCGAAGGAGAACCGGCATGTGAAAGCCATATAGAAGGGAAAAGAGAGAGCGACCCGACCAGATCGAGAAACGCCCCCGCAATGAATCTAGATACACTATATAGTGGGGGCTCCCCGACCCATCCATCTGGCTTATTATTAGAAGTCCCTTGGTGTTTGTGTGAGTTCACTATTTTTAAACGATTTCAAATTGGAGTTTTCGTGAGTGACCCCAAAGAGAAACAGAGATCGTTGTTGGTAATGCAGCTCCGGGGCAAGTGAAAGGTTTTTCGGTCTGCAAATTGTGCATAATGAACTACAGTGTTACTACAATGGCGAGCTGAAGGAGTGGTAAACATGAATAAACCAAATAATGAGATATGTTTACTAATAACAGAGATAAACAAGATTTGCATTATAAAGTGGAATGTGCCAATAATTACCGAAATGTCTGATATCTTGATTGAGATATTAATTTTGAACTAGACCTATACGTTTGCATCATGTGCAATCATTACTGAAATACTTTTGAATAAGTCTAACTAACTGTATTTAATAAATATGAATAATATTTCTTTATTTCGTTATTCCTAGATGTACATAGTATCTACTTTGTAGAGCTCGAATTCATTTATTAAAGTAACATAAATAATTACTCCTCCATTACGCCAACTAATACTCGTTAAAAACGATATTTACCATTCCATAACCACAGATCTTCTTATTTATAGAAGATGCTATCGGCAAGTGACATCTATTTCTCGGTACCCAAAACGCCCACCGCAGCATCTTGAAAACATCATTAACAACACATTTATCGGCGCTGCTCTCTCCGCTGCAGCGCCTTTTCAATGTGGGCAGCTTGCGTCTGCTACGGATTCGGATTCGGGTTCGGATTCAGATACAGATACAAGTACAGATTCGGATACAGCGTTCGTACTGTAAGAGCGAAACCGGTTCCGGGCAAAATCAAAAGTTGCGCAGACGTCGCCGACTCAGCTGCTGCTGCTCCGCTGACCAAGCTGAAGTTTTGGGTCTGGGAGTCGGGAGGAGGGGGCTGGAAGCTGCGAGGGGCGGGCGGACTGGCGACCAAGAGTGCTAAAGTACACAAAAGCAAAGTTTTCGAGATCGGTGCACAGGGAGAAAACTAAGGGGTGTTTTCAAAAGAATAAAAAATATTTTAAGTCATATAGTTTAATCTTCCTACTTCCAAGTAGCGGATATAAATGTGGGCGTATCTACAAGATATTGTAGCTATATTTGATCGTATTATTTTGGAACACGTATTTTATTTCATATAGCTTTGTACAAGTAATTGAACAATAATGTAAGAATAGTTACGTACTTTAAAAATATAGGTAAACAATCTGATCTGATCTGATTATTTAAACACAGTCTCACAACCATAAATAGAACCATTATCAGCGGAAAAAATAAATATAAGATACTTTGGCAATGACAATATCCCCGAACTTTTTGGTATGCCACTTCCCATAGGTTCTATGGTAAGTTTTTCATTCTCCCGTCAAGCTTTTCTCGCAGTGTGGATGCTGGGCCTCCGCCTGGAACGTGCTGCCCGTTTCTCTGAGTGCTCGGCTCAGTGCGTGGAGTGGTGTAGGTAAATCAGTTTGGGGAGCCGGCCTCGAAACGGGTTTACTTCTCGTTTGTGCTACACCTTTTGCGCCTGTTCCTTATTCCGATCCCCATTCGAGAACGTGTTTCAAGGCTTTTTCGAACGGGGTGTGTAACCAGTAGCGAGAAAACCAAAAAAAGTACAATAAGAGCAGGCGAGGAAAGGAGGTCGCCAAATGAAAAGATCGCGACCAAACAAAAGACACTGCTCGAGGAACTAGGGACTGTATGGGATTGGCCCGATATGCCGGGGCTGAAGAAAGGGATGGAACGTGTAATTGCCGGCAGAAAGAGTGCGAGCGTGTGCAATAAGTCCCACCCTAGTCTAATTAGAAATAACGGCAAGAACAAGACGGTATTTCTGCGCACGCGATCGCAAGAGACCGGCTAATGCATATAAATTGGCATAAATAAAGCAAAAGTCACGTCGATCCGTGTCCGAAAACCTAAGGCCAAACCAGTTTCGAATTCCAGATCAGATCATCGCAGTGACGTAGTCTCCCCAGTGCCCCGACTTCTTACTTCTCCGATTATTGCAACCTGAGTCAGCTCCCGCTGCTCTTAAGAAACTCCCGAAGAGCGGGATCGAGGAGATATATCTGCGTGGGTGCCGCAGAAGTTGACTCACTCGCATCGGAATTCCCCCTTCGAAAAGTTCCCCACGGATCGCCAAACACTCAATGGATCCGAGTATATTCCATGTATCTCCAGTCATCTCGGGGGTTGCTCTTGAGCGGCATCGATGTTCGAGTTTGAGTGGGTTTATCTGGAGATATTTTACGCAGCGCCAGATTGTCTCGAGCAAAGTGTTCCCACTTTTATCGGGGGTTGCAATGGTAATTCCGTGTGTTCTCGTCTATTAAGCAGCTCATTATGTTTCGGAATGCTCAGTATAAACATTTATAATCTTAAGAAATTTTTTTTTTTTTAAGTTTTACAATACTAGAATTTATTAGCACTTCTACATAGTGAAAAATTATAAGAATATATCAAAGTCCAAAGAAATCTAAGCAATTTTGGTTAAAAGGATGTAAGGGTATAAACTATTTTGAGAATATATTGAAAAAAGAAATAATATTAATTACATTAGAGAAACTTAAATTTTGTATACCTAAATTCGAAAGTACAACAGAATGAATGGAATGAATGAACTAAAAAAAGTTACGATTCTTTTACTAAGCCAAATATTTAAAATTGTCAAGATTTCAGAGTAATAAAAGAATCCCTGCAATCTCAAAAACGTATTAAAATTGATTTATTTAAGAATTTTATTGAAAAAACTTTACATTTGATCCATAACTCCGAAGATACAATTGCACCCTTTACAGTTTATAGTACCCAGTACTTTTCACTACATTTATTTAGGAAATGCCATTTATTTATCTGTGTTTTGGTATTTCTTTTAAATTTATTTGCCCATTGACTCCTTTTTATGTCCTTTCTTGTCCCTCTGCTTTCCCTTCAACTTTGTTCCAATCGCTGCTTGCATTCGAATTCAAATTAAGCAAATTACCGAAAATTTCGTTTGTTTGGCCCTCCATTTTCCCGCCCCCTGCCACGCCCCCTGCCCCTTGCCCCTGCTGCCACAACCTTGTTCTTCTTCTTCGCTTAATTACTTACAACTAACTGCAGGGTGAAAAGTTTGCACAGCCCTCCCCTTTTCCACCCACCGCGGCTACTTGCACTGCAATTGAAACCAAAGTTACAATCGCATATCAAGCCCTAAGACAAAAGGCAAACATGCTTGGGTGGATTTCCCGAAAAGTGGGCGGTGGGTGGCGCTTCGAGGGGCAAGGGGCGTGGCAGCCAGACTGCATAGTCGAAGAAATTACGCTGATTGAACACTAATTTATTTGTTTGTTTGTTTTAACATTTTCGCCGCATTAAAGGGGGCAGTTTGGGGGTTTCCGAAAGACGCGAGTGGAAAAGTGGATAAAAAGTTTTCCCTTCGCAAGGTGCAAAACGCTTGCATGTGTGAGTGTGGGGGTGGGGGTGGTAAAATGGGTGGCGGTGGGTGGTCTTTTTGGGGGCAACCTTAGCTTCGTGTGTCTGCCGCTGTTAGCATCTTTGGCTTTTTGTTGCAATTTGTAAGTGAGCTTCTTTGTCTGCCACTGCCGCTTTTTCGCTTAATTGGCTGTAATTGAAATCGCTCGAGAGGGGGAGTTATTGGGGGTGGTGTGGGAGAAGTACAAGAACAGTTTGTTTCACAAGGTTTAATGCGAAAATCGATTTCCTATTTATAAGAAAGACTTCACTTTTAAAGAGTGTTCAATTTTAAGCAAAATGAAATGGAGCTTTTCCCTTTTTGCGAACTCCAAAAAAAGCACCAAAAGATTCTTGCATCGGGATAAAAAATAAATATTTCTGAAACCAATTAGCTTAACAATAAAAATTCTGGCTCACCTTAAACATAAGATATACAAATATCCAAAAACCTAATTTTTTTTTCCAACAATAGATACTTTACTTTAATTTTTACTTTTTTTCCCATTAAGAAAAGTATTATTTCTTAACCTTTTTTGAAATAAGCAATTCCATATGCAAGTTATGATTGTTTTATCATAAAAAATATTAAAAATATCATAACAATTTGCAAACTACAAGTCCCAAACCAAAGCTGGAGATAGTATCTCCGAGATACATATTTGTATCTTATAGTTTTTATTCTTGGTACTTTGTCAAATTTTAAAGAGGCGTATTGGAACTTTGTTTGATTCATCACCACAAGGCCACAGACTGTATTGAAGTCTAGTTCGCTTTTCCGGCTCACAAACACTCATATTTAGAGAAATTTTTTTGTTTGCGGTCGAGCCTCGTTTGCCCGGAAAATTCTGATATATTCACGTTTTGGCTTTTTGGCCACAGTTTTGACCGTGTGTGCACTGGCTTTTTGTTTTCTTTCTGGACTTCTTTTTCGCTTTTCCCTGTTGCCGGTCTGATGTGGCGACCTTTTAGCGAACGTTTTCGCCATTTGCAGTTTTTCGCCTGTGGCGGCGGGAATGTCGCTTTCCCCTTTCCCGTCGGTTTTCCCGGTTTTTTTGGGGAAAATGTATGTCCGTGTGTGGCCCCCTGCGATCTCTGTTTGTGTTTTCCGAGTACTTGGTTATGGTAATCGAATTTCAAATTATTGCCATGAGCTATATCCGAAAGGGGGAAACCCCGGGAATATGTCGCTCCTCGTTTTTTGATTTTCCTCCTCGATTTTCCTATGCCAAAAGTTTTTTTTTCGCTACTCTTTGTTGTTCTTGTTGCGGAAGATGAATCTGTTTTTTTTTCGGTTTTCCTTCAATTCTTTTTTTGTGTTTATGTTTTGGCTAGTTGCTGTTGATGTTTTCCCTCCGTCTGCCTGCCTGTGTGGGTGTATCGGTGTGTGTTCTCTGAGGTTTTTCCTGTTTTTCCATCCTTGTTCGGCTGTTATTGTTGTTTACATCCTGTTTTTGGCGCGCTTTGAATATTTTGCGGTGCATGTTTTGTCATGCAATAATTTAATTGTCGGATTTGGCAGCTTAAAAGCATCCCAGTCGCCCCCCATATTTGTGAGGGGCGTGGCAGGTGTGTGGGGGGGGGGGGGGGGGGTGATTGTTTGTTTGTTTGTTTGTTTGTTTGCCTGTCCGTCGTCCGTCCGCCTGACACTTTGTGCTTTATTTATGTTTGGATTTGGCTTGCTGATGTTGTTTGGGCTTTTGTGTTTTGTTTTCTTTTGACAAATTGCTTAAATTTGTTTGCTCAAGAGTGTTTTTTGTTGCGCTGAATTTACATAAATCATTTTTAGTAACTTTAATTGCAAGGTGAGTTCACTTCGGTCATAGCTGTGTAAAATGTAGGTAGATTTTAATAGGACTAATGGTTTTGGGCTTTCTTCTTAATTATTATTTAGATGCTGTAAAGGTTAACACCCCTTAATTAATTTAAAATATATCAATATTTGAAACAATGGTTGTTCATAGTTTGGCTGATTTGAAAAAGGTTCAATCTACTATATCTACCAATGCTATGATAGTTTGGATCTATCCTATCCGCTTTCTCTCGTCTGAATCCTAAAATGTAAAGCTGCCCAAGGACTATTCTTTTAGGTCATTTATAATACCCTCCTCCTTATCATTATCTGCGTCAGTTGGCTGCCCTGACACAGTGGCATTATAATTAATAATCAACACCAGCTTAAAGATTTTAATTAAAATCAACGACAGACTGCAGCAGTTCAAGTTGCAGTTCCCCCGTTGCCGCTCTATTTTCTGTTCCTTATCTGCGCTTATATTGTCAACTGTGGGGTGTGGCCCCCTTTCTGGGAAATCCGCCCAGGGAAATATTACCCCCCTTGGTAACCACCCCTCGACCCGATCGACCTGCGTTGATTTCTTTTAATTTAGCCGCAATGACCTGCATCGAAATGCTTTTGTGTGCGTGTGTTGTTGGCTGAATGTCCTGGATCTTCTGAGTCCTCCGCAGGATGTATAGCGACCCTCCTCCTCGGCTTCAGCTCCAATTTGAGCTGCAATTCGTTTCCTTGGCAACTTAGCCAAGTTTCAGTTTCAGTTGCAATTACTTGGCGCACCTGAAGTGGACAACAACAAGAACGACGGGCGGGGGTCAAAGGTTAGTTTGTTTGTTTGTATTTGCTGCTGTTGTTGCGGTGACGTTGCTGATTCTATCCCTCGCTTCTTTTTTCCTGCCAAGACCCACCATTCTGCAGTATTTTTTGCTATCGCTTTTCTGTTGACTTTGCGCTTTCTATTTACGCTCCGCTGTTGTTTGTTGAATTCCAACTGCAATTATGTGAATTTTCACCGTGCACAGCATAAAACATTTCCCCAGAACTCCGGTTCAAGCAGTTGGCCTGCAGCTTCTGTTCGGCAGCTCCGGGGGCAGCGGGTTCTGGGTTCTGGCCAAGCTCAAAGTCAAACAGCGCCGGGAAAGTAAACTGAGCTTGAAAGTCAATAAGCGGGGAGTGGGGGCTGAGTTCCACCTGAGTTTCCAAGGATCTCAGCCGGAAAGTGTTGAAAAGCGTTTAAAGCTTACCATTTCTGCTTAGACATTTTCTCCATTGATTCGGTCAACTGCTTTCTAAAGTTGAGAAGCTGCTCGAATATCCACAGTGCCTACTGCAGTCAGGTAAGTCAGGTTAATAACAAAAGTCAAAACCTACGACTTGTAAAACTACTTAAAAATTTAAAAATTAGATTCTTATTTTTCTTAAAGAACTGGTTAACTAGGGAATCGTTAAGGTTTAGGTAGATTACCATGGAATATCTTCTAGAATCAAGACAAAGTTCATTGGTAAATGTGTTTTTTTAAGAAAGTATGTTCTAGCTCAATGAAACATAGTTGGAATTAGAAAGATCTAAAATAAATACTTCTATTCTTGAATTTTGATCTACTGTTTTTCTTAGTCTAATATTCTTTCTTTCAAAAACAAGTAGCCTTTGAAATTGAAGTTATCGTGTTTTACAAATTTTACTTTATATTACTTTTTGCTTTTAATAAGACCATTCAGAACTAAAAAATTGTGTAGTTTTAAATAAAATTCTCAGTTTTAGTAAGGTATAAAAAGGAAATAGCATGGGTCGTCGTAAAACTAAGTCAGAGGTAAGATAAAGGAACTTCAAAGACTTAATTCCATTATCTAATTATTTTTCACAGACGGTGGCAGATATTTTTGGAACTTCGCCGAAGCCGCGGGAAAGTCCAAAAAGGCAGGGAGTGAAGCGGAAAATGGTGAAAGTGTCTGCCGGGCACAAGAGGCGTAGTCTTCCTTGCCGCCTGAATCCAAGTGTTATCCGCCAGATTTGTGAGCCCGCGGAGAAGTGCAAGACCTCGAAAGCCCGTATTATGTACGTCAATTCGAACTACGGAAGTAAGAACAACGCCGATCTCAGTCAAACCGATTGCCATGAGCCTAATTGCCCTTGCAGAGGGCCGAAATCATCGAAATCTGAGCCTGGACCCAAGCCAAAGATGGGTCAGAGTCCTGCTACATGAGATGATACGACTGTAACCCCATGATGTTGAAAACTACAAAAAAAGCTTAGTCGATATTCCAGAACTAATCCACAATCTATTCCTAATATTAAAATATCTATGGACAATATCATAACATCCTATATAAAGAGCTTAGAACTCAATGTCCCAGGATAATCCTACGATATACGAAGTAATGATCCTTTAAAGGCCTGTGAATTTTGTAATTATTTGTATATGAATGTGGCAGCCCTTCGAATATATATTTGGATATGTGAACTGTTTTCGAAAACTATTTGTTCAAGGTATAGGGATTTCTGAGCTGTGGTAAAAGATACTTTCGCAGAACCTTGAGAAAGCCCATCGAAGTAGAAACCCTCAGCAGTTATTTGTCCTGCATGTGTTGTCCCTACCCCTTATTTCCTTGCCCCTCCTTCAAAGGAGCTTTTCCTGGCATTCCGTTGGTGTCACGTAGATTTTTCGTTTGCTTTGAGTTTTCAGTTACACGGTTTTTGGGAGGGACGAGGACGAGGAACAGCAGCTAAGCAATCACCAAATAAAAAGCCATCGGACAGTTGCTGAGCTCAGTTTCAATTTTCACTTAAAACAAAGTTGGCAAACGAAGGGAAAGCGGAGGTGCAGAAGGACAAAAACTGGCTGAACTGCATCTCACATCCACATCCAGATCCACATCCTCATCCACATCCACATCCACGTCCAAAAGAATCCGAGGGTCGCTCGGGCGTTAACAAAGCGCGCGAGCCCGTCTGCCAAATTGTTTTTGGCCTTGCACAGGAAACAAATATTAGACAATTTACTAAACAATAAAAAAAATTAAAAAAGATTCAAGATAACTTTTTATTTAAAGCCAATATAACCAATGTACTTTGCTGGCGTTACTCTCTATTTTAACTTTCCATTCCTATTAATTTTCTTTTGTGCTCTTAATTATTTTTTTATATTATGTAAGTATTGTGTAATATGATTGATGTATCTTAACTATGTTTGAAATTTTGAGTGAGTTCAAATGGTTCCCTAAAAGTGGTGCTAAGAATATTGTTAAGTATGGTAATATATTTTCTTAAATTTGTTGTTCGAATTTAACCAATAATTCAAATGAATGATTTCTATACATGCATGATTAATAATAAATGCGGTGTTTCTCTCAGTGCATCTGTTGTTGGGTTTTGTAATCAGAGCAAAGTAGACGCAGACACATGACGGAACTACCTTCCCCGTTCTCGTAACCCTCCGCTTGGCTTACGTGATTTCAGGCTGCCAAATTACGGATCGGGTTGAGAGAAATCGTAGAGCGCAGAAAAAAATCACGAGGAAATAAGGAAAAGCGAACCAAAAAAATTATGCTGTCGGGTAGCCAAATATTTCTATGTGCTGCCATGATGAACCAGAAGCGGCAAAGGAAAAACAAAACTATGGCCAGATTTTCAGGGCGAGGGGGCAAGGAAAAGTTTGTGTGGCTCACGTGACATTTGTTTTGGCAAGTGTCCTTTCCCCTCATTGTCGTCAAATCAGCGAACGTACCTGCAATGGAAAATTAAAGAAAGGGTTTTCAGTTGGTTGAATTTCAGTTTCGTTGGTTTAAAGAAAGCTCTTAAATATTTTAGGAATATTCGAACAATGGATAATTTATACCTGCAGTTTGTGACGCAACAGCTTATAATAATAATTATATAATAGTTAAATGACCAATGAAATAGTAACGTAACTATCCGTGTTGGTCATAAAAATGAGGTAAATGAAGCTGATTGTTTGCTGTATATAACCCCTTTTAAAATAACTGATTGATCGGAACAAATTAAATCGGGATTATTTATTAGCCGCATCCAATTCATTAGTGATGCTGACTAAGGCTTTTGTTTCTCCAATAGATGATCTTTTAAAAGGTACTTATGTTTCTGTTCCCTTAATAAAATAAGTAGACCCTTCGATTCCTTTTATAATATATTTTTTATAAAAAAAAATGTTATATATTTCGAGGACCAACTATTTTTTCCTAGGGTTAGGATATGGCTGGTCCTTTCCGTATCCAGCATTGTAGCCCCACCAATTGCCATCGTGGGGACTTGCGTTATTTAATCGATGTTTTCTCGTTGTTCGCATGGGTTTCGGCGTTTTAGTCATCCATCTCCTTATGACTCCGGGCTGCTGCTCCTTATCATATCTACGACGCATGCACTTTTGGAATCTCTCGTGGTAGTAGTACCCGTACTGAGGAACACAGTTCTTGAAACATAATCACTTGCTGTCGAAAAGCCTTACCGCGCATTTTTTCCTTCTTGTGCGTGCCAAGTCCGGCAGGCAGGTGTTCATCAAAATGACCCAGGTGAATCCTGCGGCGCAGAAGGGTAATTCTGAGGAAAGGGGACTCACATCCGTAGTCGACATTCCTCTAACGATGTGGCCATCCGACTAAAGACAATCGATTCTGGTTAGTGGGTCAAAATTATTTCGTTTCACTTTTAAGTGGAAAAGTGCAATTTTCACACTGTAGTTTCAGGCCTATAACAAGGCCTAGAAAGCTTTATAACAAAGTTCTTAAACGACCCTTTCTTTTTAAGGATGGCATCTTTAGTTGCTTATAATACCATTTATATACCTTGTGTTTTAATAATTTTTAAATATAAATTAGATATTTGCTAATGGTCTTTAGGATTTTTCAAATATGTTTGGAATTCCTTTCATAAAAAGTGGAGCAATACAAGTAAGCCCCTCTTCTTCAAACTAAGTACCTGTATAACTCAAATACTGATGGCAATTCTCAGATACTTCCACAGATGCAGACACAAACTGCCATTAGGGCTTTTCTCTGGCCTGCGCTTTAAATGTTTTCACCTTTCCCACACCTTATATCACTCGAACACACGTTAATGGATCTGGGCCAGGATGCGTATGGTTGGGGTCACAAGGGCGGGGGGAATTCCCTGGTTAAGTTTGGTTAGCTGATTGTGCTGCCATTCCATCATGCCCTTGCCACTTCCCGGGTGCCGCTTTTAATGAGTGAAATGAAGTAGGATACTTGAATGAGCCAGTTGACTGCACGGCGAGGGGTGGCGCAGGAGTTCTCGTTGTGTGTCAATAAGCTAGGCTGAGAGACTTAAAACCACATGAATCATATTTATGTTGGGTAAACAGTATTATCCTTGAACCTAAATTATTTTGAATTTTATGCAGATCATTATTTTATATAATTACTTTAAAGTGTTTACTTAAAGTTTTTGTATTGATTATTTTGAGGTATAGTGACTTAACTAAAGTTTGATTACTATACTGATTAGAGTGTTTATTATTTTAAGCAGATCCCAAACTAATCATCCAACCCGTGTGCGTTTGCTATTTGTCTCTGCTACGCAATTTCCGGTCGTACCTCATGGCGTATGCGCAATTTCAGCCAGGCAGCCGAGGAAATCAACACTAAAGATCATGAAAAGCATTAAGCTTGAATGTGATTATCTTCGTTCGAAGCACAGAGAGAAGTTTGACTTAATTTTGTTTACTTAAATAAATAATATAAGTAATTATAAATCATAATCATTAAGTGAGTTGGTACTCAGATACTCTGATTCGGTTCATCTTGTTTAATTTTCACTATATTAATCCCCATTTCAATAGGTAATTTCCATCAAGAAGCCATCAACTTTTCCGTTTGGGCAAATTAGTTGGAAGTCTATTGAGTAGCGGCTAAGCCAACGCAATATTCAATGCCAAAGTGGGCGATAAGTTGCTGAAACTTTGCCCGGCAAAAAAGAGAGCGCCAAAGAAGCGTTCCAGGTGGCAAATGTCAAAGCAGTGGAGCCTGGCAGCTGAAGGACAGCAGCCCCGTGCCGTTCACTCGTTTGTTTGTTCGTTTGCCTCTTTGTTTGTTTGTCCCATTGTCGCTTTGCGAACTATGAACTGTCACACGGAGGAGAGTGCACTAAAAGTGTCGCCTTACGGCAACTGACTTGGAAAGATAATCGCAGGGGTGTGATGAGTGGGCGGTGCAACTTTTGATAAAGGTTTATCTGTCTGCCGTTGCAGCTTACCTTTTTGGCCGGCAACAGTTTCAGCTGACTGGCTAAGTTGGCTTCAAGTTGCCACCGACTTGACTGTCTTGACTTTCATCATCGTCATCATCTGGTTGCCAGTTCCCAACTTGAGCTTCCGAAAGGGAGGCGAAAAAAGTATCTGGGTATCTTGATGTCGCGACAACTTTCCTTTTTTCTCCCCTTTTTTCCCTCTGGCAGCAGCTCTTCGTGTTTAGCATTTAATTATTTGAAAAATACGCAATGGCGTTTCGTATTACCGAGGAAGAGGAAAGCAGGAAGGAAATCGGGTTGGATCGGATGTGGGCAGAGGAGAAAGTAAGGCAGTAAAAATGGCAGTGGGTTTAAGGAAGTGGAGAAAGTTCAGGGAAATAATTAGAGATTAAATATTTAAAAATAAAAAACAATTAAAGGTAACAGACAGAATGTAATTATTACCTTTTTAAATTATTTTTGTTTACATCAATGAACGAATCCGTAAAAGAATGATCGTTTTTACAATCTATAAAAATATGTTTAAAAAATTGCTGTAATCTTTACTTTATTTATTGTTACCAAACCACTTTCAATAATTCAATAAATTATCGTTAAGTTTGCAAGCTTTACTTATCGGCGCTTTTCAAGAGCCCTGCGGCTGAAATATGTATGTTGCCACATGTTGCAGTTACAGCTGCACTTTAAGTGGAGGAGTGGGAAAATATATTGAAACACAGACCGGCCGAAGGAGACGGACGGGCAGACAACATCATCTGACAGTTTGGCTAACATTAAAAGCGGCAAAATGTTGCGGCGCTGCCTGCCAAATGACATGATTTCTCAGTTCTGATTCGGTTGCCACTCTGCACTCTCTTCAGTCCGCATTTCCACATCTCCGCATTTCCACATTTCCACATTTCCACATCCCCACATCAACTTCAACTCAAGAACTGAGCGAAACTTTTGCTTATCTGCGTCACAGCCACAAAACCGAATCCCGACTCCAGCCGTCCACGTCGCCATCCCTTTTCCAGCTCCATACACTAGGCGAAACTACTGCGCTCTTGTCTGAGAAGTCTTTAAAGATAATACTAGATGCTTGTTAATGTATTTAAATTCTAGGTATATCAGTTCAACGTTAAGAAAATATATTTCACCTCAAATCGTTTTAATTAAAGGCTGACGAGTTGTTTCACACCTTGATATTAATTTTGAATGTTCTATTACAATATAAATAAATAGGTTATTTGTTTTCTAGAAGTGAACTTAAGTAAATGGTATTAGATACATCTGCACTGAATAGATTTTTCTTTAGGTTGATTTCCAACTTGTATGATTTTTTAGATATTTGTTTGTGGGCATAAGTAAAATTAGTTTTATTATTGAAGACTTGAATTAAATATTACGAAATTCTCAGGAAACTTTAAATTAAAAGTTATACTTTCTAAGGTCCCTGCTTTCTGGCAGTGAGCTCACATCACTCCCTTTGCCAACTACTGCAACGTCTTGAGGCAGATTTTTGCTCTGGCTGCTGCTTCTGTGTTTTTTGCTGCGCTTTCCTTGGTGCATCAGTTTGTCTGGTCCTTGGATGACTGGTTTTCCTCCTTGGTCCTGTTATTTCTACACATGCTCGCCCAGGACTCGTTCTTTGTTGCTTTTTCGCTGCTGCGCCGCTGCTGTTTGTGCGTGTTTCATTTTATTTGTTGGCACAAAATTGGGTTTTAGTGGATTTTGTGGCAAATGATTTTTGCTGGCTGCCGTTACGCTTGCATAAACTTTAATTTAATTTTTGCCCAACACAAAAAGCACAGAAGTTCCCTGAGCAGCTGAACAAAAAGCAGACCAAAAAGTAAATATAAAAGTATAGAAGAAAAGAAGCAGAAAAAGCAGGTTTAATATACGGAGATCATATGAGGCCAATGCTCAGGTTTTCCTTGCCAAACTTTAATTAGAACACGTTTTGTAAAAGCTTCTGAACTTGGCAATAAACATTAAATTTAAAAGATTTCTAACGATCTAGATAAAACTACTAAGAAAGTTATGAAAAATGTCTTATTATTATAATCATATTTTTAAGAGAGAGTCCTTAAAAAATAATATAAACTATATGAAAAATTTGTTGACTATATATATAATTTCAAATAATTAACCCTCCACATACAATTAATTAATCACTTTGATTTCAGAATCTCCAAATTGCAGAGCTCGCAAGCCTTAAATTCCAGAAGCGATTAATGCCAAGCTGTGCAAATAAAAACTTTGGGTATCTCAACACTTGACTTTATCCGTAAAGTTTGCCATCGAGTTTCGCCACTTCTCCGTTGATTTCGTTTCCCAATCGCTTTCAATCAACATGCGTATATTGAATTGAATATTTTGCGAGAAAGCCACAGGACACACTTCCATCAATTCAAATGCGTCTGCCAACATCTGTCTATACATCCACGTATATATTGCCACACACAAAATGGAGGACAGGACACCTCCGTATGGGTGGAAGTTTTTTAAGAAATGCACAAAAGTGCAATTGAGTTGAAAGACGTGCCAAAGGGCGTGCACAAGCTAGAAAAGCCATAAAAATGGCAGCTAAACGTTGGTGGATGGGTGGATGGTAGGGGATCGGGATCCTCCTGCTCAGGTGAAAAATTATAGCGTAAAATTCATATTTGATGACTTTTTGATTGCCAAACCGAAAACTGTTGCCCCGCCTTCGCCTCCAACTCAACTCGACTCAATCCAAACCGCAATCGCAACCTCAGATGCTGCCTTCTTCTACGGATTCACACAGCCACATAATGCTGGCAAAAGTGCTTTCAATGGCGTCATTGTCAAGCGTTCTTGCCGCCATCGCAATCATCATCATCATCGTTATCATCCCACATACATCCACCTGCACCTGAACTGCACTCTATACTCTATACGTAGTACCTACTATGTAGTGGCTGATCCAAAGCAATGCCAAAGCTTTGGGATTAAGCTGCAGCTGGCTTTGAACTGGATGGATGGGTAGTGGATGAATGGATGGATGGATGGCTGGATGGTTGGATGGCTGGCTGGTTGGCAGCTGGGTGCTCCGGATTTTTCCTTTTCATTTTTCCATATTCCGTGTCGTTTGTCGTCCTCGAGCCCAAATGATGATGACGATGTGCTCGAGTTTCGATTGTAGGCAGGGGAAAATCTTTCAATGGTAAACGGGACTGCGGTTCAAACTCTCAAGATGGATTTCGGTGGTACAAGGACTCGATTAATGAACCTCAGCTTGATGGTCATTTAAAATGCATTTCTAACCGAAGTGTCTTCTGGGCTTTAGTTTCTAGTTGAATTGGATTTAGCTTTATGGTAAGTACTGTTTTGGGTCACAAAGTGCTTACATTAAAATCCCAAAATATATGCTTTACTATCCATGACAAAGTGTCATTAGAAAAAATAATACTTTATTTATTTTGTAATTTATTAATCTTTACATATACCTCCATTTATTGTACAATTTCTTGTTTACAGATTTTTTAAAGAACTCAATTCCAATTCCACAGAATTCAATTCCAGCACCCAATGAATCCTCAAGGCAACGAGTAATCAATACTAATTAGGCAACCTCGTGGGATTGAAAGCACTCCCGACTCTTTAAATCCCTAAAACCCATTAATCGCTTGACTTTTTTCCGTGTCAGTCGGCTAATTTCAATTAATGTAAAGGCACGGGGATGAGCCCGAAATGAGGTCCTTTCAGCACCCTCGTTCGTCGTCCTCGCAGAATGGTGTTGATGTGACGGGCCACGAATGCTGATGACACTAATGCCCGTCCACACGCACACTCGCACTGTGAACTGTGAACTGTGACCCATGCACAGGATTTGGGATTCAGTTTTCAGGATTGAGGATCCAGGACGCAGGACACAGAGGACGCAGGACGTCAATGTGTTAATGACTCGATGGCATTGCATAAAACGGCTACGCTAATTTGCATTGTTGTGCGGGTGTGGGGTGTGTGAATTGGCCGCTGTCAACGTTGTCCTGGCACTCGTGTGTAATGATTTGTGCCAGTTTTTCCAGCTTTCCACGCTTTCCCCCAACCCCAATGACCAACAACCTCGGCAGCCCATCGGGCTTATGTCATACAATTAATAAAAGTTTTCATGCCCGCGAAAAAAAAGTAAAAAAGGAAGTAATGAGCAAGCTACAAGCATTTTATATCACACGTTGACCTTAATTACTCGGGGCTTTTTTACAGGGCCATTAGGTTCCAAATTTAAAGACTTCTAATGGTGGATATTAAAGTCGCGCTAAATTAAGATTGATTGAACTAGGTGGGATTATGATTAAATTTCCATTCCAGGAGCCACTTTTATTTTTTTCATGATTGTTTATTTGGGTAATCTATATAGTGAGGGTTACTAAAATATAAATTGACTTAATTTCAGGACATTTTATAAATTTCCGAGTATTAACTCTTTACTGCCCATAAAAGTTTTATGATTTCGAACCAATTTGACCATAAACTCATTTATGCAGGACTTAAATTTTCGATTTTATAATCCTCTTAATAACGCATCGCTGACCCAGAATCGATTTATTAATCAAGCGAATTTGTTTGCCTCGCCATAACCTTTCACCTCGCCCAACTGCCGTGCACTTTGAGGAAGTGGAACTAGTCTGGCTGGCGCTAGCAGTCCAAGCCCAGATCCAAATCCGAACCCACGTCCACATCCACATCCAAATCCGAATCCGAATTCTACTCTGAACTGTGACGACAACAATTCCAGCGATTTTTATATGCCATTTGCCGATTTTACAACTTTGCTGGCGCCTGGCTTATGCCGAACCCAAACCAACTGTGGCGCTCTTCTTATGGCCACGTTTGTAGCCGGTTGTTGCCGTTGTTTTTGCCATTGGCGCCACGGTGGGCCGGCCAGAAGCGGATTCCCACCGCCTTTCCCAGGCTTTTCGTCCTAGAACCATTTTTTCCCGTCAGCCGGGGACGTCGCGTGTTTGGGCCATTTTCCGTTTTCATGGTGTTCGTCGCCAAAATGGCGTTGCGTGCTGCCGCGAAATGTTTGTCGAAAATTGCTCAAATGGGGCTTACTTCGTACAGGATCGAAGTAGGGTTACCCTATAGGTGGGGTCTTACCTTTTGTTCATTCCTAAATCCACTTTGCTTTTATTAAAAATAAGTGCGTTCCAATAAAATGTCAGTGTTCAAATAGATCTATAAGTTTTCAAAAGAGTCCTCATGAGTTATTAGCTATTATAAAAAGGGGATCGGAATAAAACCCGTATTTTACGGAATAAGTATCTTAAATATCTATTTTTCTTTTTAAAAAAATGTATTTTATTTTATCTAAGACGAAAGATGGTTTTAACCACAAATGATCCCTATCAAAGAGGGTATATCTGTTAGGTAACTGAATAAATATATATTACAAAAATAAAGAAGGTTGTTCAAATAAATTGTCTTATTCACTACTTAATATCAGCTTTATTGTTAGTCTTACGAAAAATTAACACCATTTTTAGGACCTTAGACTAAAATAACCCCGGTTGAACCTGGCCAAAGAGGGTATATCTGTTAGTAAAATTGCATGGTGGTTGGGGTCACGGGGTCCGCAAGTATTAGTGACTAACACATCGAAATTTGTATGCGTCACAATCGTCGGAGTCGCAGTCGCAATAACAATCACTGCGAAAAAGGCGAATCAAGTCGTTGCCGAAGGAGAAGCTAGAATCATAAAAAGATTTATGGCGCTTTCAAGGCAAAAGACCCAGAAGTATTCACAATGACAAAGGGACTGAGAAATGCTGATGGAAAGTGGGGTAAAACAGAGCTGGAAAGCTGCGTGCGAAAAGTGTTCTGTTCGCTAGGAAGTACGAGCCATCGAGGCCAATAAAATATATGAACAAACTCGCATTAAGGGCTAAAGTTCATAGAGAAAATCACCGAAAAGTTGTCTATGCGGAATGTCGACATAATGATACATAAATCAAGATGTCAATGCTACTTTATGGACTTGGCAAAGGTACCAGATGACAGGAGTTAATATTTGCCCCAGCTATACGGCAGCCATTTCCCCTAATATCTACGGCCCCTATCTCCCTTTCAGTTGTGGTCCTCCTCCCAGTTTCGGGGCCTCTGAATTTTGGCATTGTTTTAATGCATTTGCAGCCCAGAAAACTTTAGGGGCGTGGGCCGAAAGTTTGGGGGTGTTCCCTTGCCCTCCTCCATTTTCATTGTGCAATTGGAAACTTTATGCAACAATAAAATTGCTGCCAAAAAAATATGAAAAAAGTAGAAGAGCAGGCTAACAATGCAGGCAGTGTAAAAAGGGAAAATGGGAAAATAAAACACAGTGCAAGTCGGCTGGTGTAGCCTACTTATGGGTAGGAAAATTGTGTAGGGGCGTCGGTGGGTGGGAAAACAGACGCCGCATTTAAACTCTCGACATCCGCGGCGACTTCCGGAGCGGTAAATTATGCAGGGCTCGTGAAATATCACTCATTGTTCTCGCCATATGATTTTAATCGCCCGCCGGCACAAAAAAAAAATAGTCCGTCACTATGTGCGATAAATATTTGATTTTGCATGTGATTAAATATATGTCAACGGTGAAGTTAAAGAGAGATTTCAAATTAATTTTGATTTATTAAGGATTATGCTGTTTTGGCTTTCTGACAATGAAAATAACCGGTTGATTTATGAGCTTTTACCTAGTCGTCGAATAAGCCGAAATTGACGGATCAACAGAGAACGCAATCGAAATGCCTTCTCAGTGGCTTCTGAATTCCGGCTTCATGTTGGACATCGATCAAAATTTACATCTGTGGCAGGTTGAGATGGATTTCGTGTGTTGCTCATACGCCACGTTGCACATTGAATGTTTATGACTTCTCCGCACATAACAATCCAAATCCAATCGAAATCGCAATGGAGCCGAAATTGATAGTCGTGACATATTGAAGGCTGGAGAAGATGGAATTGGTGCGAACCAAGGAGATTTGAGGGATTGGATGCTGCGTGGAGTGGAACAGATTTGCAATACGTTCAGGTGTTCATGGAGTTTAATTAATTTATGGATGGAAAACAAAACTGAGACTAGCTGGCACATTTCTTTTATTTGGACCTTTTCTTCTCGATTAAGAAATCGTATTCTCACTAGAAATATTCAAATTATTACTTCATTATTTATAGACGTTAAATAGATAGACGTATCTTTTGATTCTTTGAAACCCACACAAAAAGAAAACATCTAATAAAGCAACATAACTAAAGACATAACTAAAAGATATTTCTTGCGCTTGAAGATATATGAACATGACTATATTAAAAACCCACAAAATAAATTAAGTACTATAAGATACTTTCAGCCAAACAAATTTGAATGAAAGGCGTTGTGTGGCTGAAGTAAAAACTGGCAACGAAATTGAAATGTTTGCGTACGAAATTAACACCACCCGGTACGGCTACACACACAAGTGCAGACTGACTCACACAAGCTCACTCGTACGTACACGTTGAAATGCAAATGCAAATTGCATTTGTTTGCGTTGTGTCATTTGTCGCTTGGCTGAGACCCAAATGATAACGTGGGGGGAGGGGGTCTGCAACTCACAGCTGGCAAATGTGACAACTTGTTACAAAATTCATCAACTTATGAAATATAAATCGCACACCAGAGGAACCAGCAGGGATAAAACGAGGAAGAGAAAGTGCCAGTTCATGTAGAATATTCCACAGGCATCATTAGACTTGCAGCTACAAGTGGCTTTGCAGGCTTAAAATAATTTGAAACCAATTTCAAGACTTGTGTACTTCAGTAGGCCCTTAAAAATGCTTGAAACAGTGGGCTAATTTGGTATTATTTGACAAAATTAATATTTACATTGGTTAAATAAATGTAAAACTGTTTGGTATTGCAGCCAGCAGTCACATATGCATAGTGGTTATGGGCATTTACCGATTTTCTTCGATGTACTTATTTAAAACAATATTTCTGTTTTTTCCAGTATAAACTCGTTTCATCCCATCGTACTTACTGCTGGAAACGATTTTATTTCAACCTCAGCAGGCCGATTTTTCGAAGTGCCAAGGCCTGAATCATCTGGCTGGCAGTACACCTCATTCCAACGCCATCACCCCAACAGTTAACAACTACTATAAGAGAAAAATTTGTTTTGACCTAGCCGTTTTTTCAGCTTCAGAAGGCAAGTAAAATAAAAAAGTGAAAAAAAAATTGAAAAAGTTTAGGAAAAAGTTTGAAAATATTTTTAGAATAACGTGAAAGAAAATCTTTAAAAAAAATCTAAAAAAGATATCAAATAATAATTTAAATTGCAATTTATTTTATTCCTTTTTAAATTTTTTTTAGTCGAAAATGAGTGATGAAGAAGCACCTGGTGAGGGAGGTGAGGAGTCGCCGGGAGCAGCGGAGCCAGCAGAGGCAGCAGCACCACCTCCAGATACAACCACCGCTGAGCCCGTGGACACCACCACTTCAGGAGCCCGGATGATGATGCACCACCCCTGGTTGGCGGCCGCCGCGGTGGCCGTCTATGCCACCAAGGTCATGTGGGTAAAGTTCCGAGAACTCGGCTTGGCGAAACAGAAAAAGCGGCCCAAAAGTTCGGAGGCAAAGTCGAAGCCCGTGCAGGACAATGAGGAAAATGGTTCTGAATCTGAGTCTGAATCGGAGGAGACGGAGACTGATGCAGAGGACGAGGAAAAAGGGCCTGCTGTGGAGCTGCAATCGGCGATCTTACCAGATCTGGTGAAGATCGACGCTCCTGATGAGAACTATCGAGCAATCGAAGTGCCACCCGCCGACTTCTGATGCTCAAATTCGGGGATGAAGGATCTTGCGAAGACACTGCACTATCACACCGAACAAGGACACTAATTGTTGTAATGCTTGCGATTTACGAAGGGGAGGATCGTTAGCGACGTTGGAAATTAACCACCACATTGGAGGACACAAATTTTTTGTTTTATAACATTTACCAAAATTCTTGTATAACATTTAGACATATAATTGGTTTTTATCGGTTCTCTATTTATTCTGCGATGACAGTAAGGTGTAATAAAATATAAATTGAAGAAATGGCCTTTGATTCGGCGGTTGTACACTGTACACTGTAGATGGCGAACAGTTATTCCCTGTCTGATTAGTGGGTCCGAGGACCGCCCCTTTCATTTATTAATATATAAAAAATTATTATCATTTGTAAAACAAATTCGATTTTTAATGGGTTTTAAATGAACACAAGACTGCATTATGAATGAGGCCCAGAAAATCAAAGCCTGCTTTGCCTTGTATATTTAGTATTGGACCATCACTGGCGGATCCATAATTTAATTTGTGGTGAATATAAAAAAAGTTATTGTGGAGAAATAAAAAATTTGGAATAAAATACATATTACATATACTTTTTACCCGAGTTGGGGAAAGTATACCTTATATCCCCCCTCCCATTCCACCGTTGATTCGCGCATGCGTAACAAAGTCCACCAATTAATATATTTAGTTCTAAAGAACTCGCGGTTGCTAGAATCCAAAAAATGTCTGAAGAAATGTAGCAAATGCTGGTCGCTTACTCGATGCTTTTCTTACTCGATCGACCTATCATAAACTATATCCCATTCTTTGAAACGTCAATGCCTTTACTATCTGGTTGGCAGTTTACTTCATTCCAACGCCTTCACCCCTAACAGTAACAACACACATAAATAAAAGTTTGACCTAACTGATTTTTTAGCTACAGCAGGCAAGTACAAAAATTCTAAAAATACATGTTGAAAAATTGAAAAATTTTGTAAAATTACATACCATGAAAAGACGCACTAATTTTTCTAGATTTTTCTATATTGATTTTTGTTTTCTCGCGATTTCTAGTCCAAAATGAGTGATGAAGAAGCACCTGGTGAGGGAGGTGAGGAGTCTCCGGGAGCAGCGGAGCCAGCAGAGGCCGCGGCACCACCACCAGATACAACCACCGCTGAGCCCGTGGATACCACCACTTCAGGAGCCCGACTGATGATGCACCACCCCTGGTTGGCGGCCGCTGCGGTGGCCGTCTATGCCACCAAGGTCATGTGGGTCAAGTTCCGCGAACTCGGCTTGGCCAAACAGAAAAAGCAGCTCAAGAATCAAAACAAAAAGTCAAAGCCTCTGCAGGATGTCGAAGAAAATAGTTCTGAATCCGGGTCTGAGGCAGAGACTGATGCAGAAGACGAAGATGATATCCGAAACGTTCAGGATGTGGATCTTCAGTCAGAAATACCACCGAATCTGGTTGATTTAGACGATCCGAATGGGAATCATCGATCAATTGAAGTTCCGCCCGCTGACTTTTGACACTCAAATTCGGGGATGAAGGACCATCGAAGGACACTACACAAAAACACACTACAAGGACACTAATTGTTGTAATGCTTGCGATTTACGTAGGGGAGGATCCAGCCACACCCCATTGGGGGACACAAATTGTTAGTTCTGAAACATTACCGAAAATTCTTGTAAAACCATTCAACATTGTGTTTGTAAAATGTTTTCTGTAAATGCTGCGATGAGAAAAACGAATTTTGTAAAATAAACCCATTGAACTAAAATTGCGTAATAAAAAATAAGTGCATGGATACGACTGAAATAAGTTGGTTGCTTATATGGGGTCTTATAAAAGGTATTCGAAGTTTAAAAACTGTTTAGAAAGGGGATACTGTTTTGCAGCTCCTAATTTTTCGATTTCGACTGGAGTTGTTTTATCTTCGATAATTGTATGCAGAATTAAGTCTTTGTAAGCTTTTTTCCTTAGTTGGTTGCTCTAGGAATTCGTTATTGACTCAGCTAACTGTGAAAATATCCAAAATCTTTGGAAACAGTAAACACTGAAAAGACTGTCAAGACTTTCAAGACTGTCAGAACTGTCATGACAAACTAGTAAGCATTCAAACCAAATCGTAGAGAAGTAAAGAAACCTTGAAGAAATTAAGTAACTTTTTCCTAGATTCGAAATTATTTGTGATTCCATTTTCTCGTGATCCCAGAACAATATGAGTGAGGAAGAAGTACCTGGTGAGGGAGGTGAGGAGTCGCCGGGAGCCGGATCGGTTGAAGAGGTGGCTGCCCCAGTGCCCGATACCACCACCGCTGAACCCGTGGATACCACCACTTCGGGAGCCCGGATGATAATGATGATGAACCACCCCTGGATGGCGGCCGCCGCTGTGGCCGTTTATGCCACCAAGGTCATGTGGCTCAAGTTTCGCGAACTCGGACTGGCCAAACAGAAAAAGACGATTAGAAATCATCAGGACAAGACGCTGAAACCCCAGGAGGATTACAAAGAATGTGGGTTGGAGTCTGACTCTGACGAAGAGTCTGATGCGGAGCCAGATGAAGCTGATCCTGCCTCTAAACCACCTCTAAAGTGGGTCGGTAATGCTTGCGATTTAGGTACTGAAGGATCGTCGAGCATCGTTTTTCATTAAGTACGAAATGATCGAAATTCTTGTAAAATATTTTATTCTTATGATTTTATTGCAGCCATTTGAGAGACTTGTAATATGATCAAAATTATTGTAAATCAACAAAATTATTCAAAAGGATAATAGGCTTCCGCATATAGCTTGGATTTTCCTATAATCATCTTGGTATTTTAAAAAATTTAGTATTTCAATTTGAATGCTGTGAAGAGGGTATAGTGTGTAATACAAATAAACCAAATATATAAGACAAACATTTTTGAATTTAATTTTATAGTTATCGAATCAGACATTAGATTAAACAGCTTTAAACTTGTTCACTTACCGTCATTTTGTAAAATGAACATTAAAGTGTAAAGCAATTCGAAAAGAGGCTTTAATGTAAGCAATCGAATTTTGTGAGTTATATTTACAATTTGCATTTTTATTGATTTGTAACAACTTCGACACCTTGCTGTTGGTTCAGCCCGCCGGCTCTCCCGGTTTTCAGTTTTCAGTTTTTGTTCCCGTTTCCGACTCGATCGATCAATCAAAACCCGAGCGGCGCGTCATTATGTCATGGTGGTGATGGTGAATGCGAAAAAATAGAAAATCGGCAGCGGCCGGCGGGAAAGTGGGAAAGCGGGAAAGCGGAAAACGGGAAATTCATGGCAGGCAGCAGCGGTCACGGAAACTGGGGCACATGCAACCGAGCGGTGTTTGTGTGCTCGGCGTGTTTGCACCCGCCATCATCATCCTGTCGCCAAAGGCCCCGCCTCGGCGACCCCTTGCCACACCCCCTTTTCCACCGCCCCTCCCTTTTCCCCCACCACCCCCTGTCAGTTGTCGATCGGGTGTTTGGGGACAGGAAGAGGCTAATGAATGCCGCTGTCAATTAGCAATGGGCGTTGGTAAATCAATTCAATGACACTGCGGCTCTGTTTAAGCGCCATTCTGCAATACAAGGTAAATGTGTGTGAAAAGGGTTTAATGCGATTAGATTTAAACTAAAGAAATAGTTGAAACCCTGCACCTTCTACCACATAATGTAAAAGGTTTTTTTGAAGTTCGTAATTTTAAATTAGTATAATTTCATACTCAAATTTATTATTTGTGAATCTTTTTTAAGCATTTCAATAATTAAATGTTTCATACAACTTCAAAATATCATAATAAATTTAATTTAAATGAACAGTAAGTAACATAACACAGCAAAATAATCATAGCTAAAAGTTTAAGTTTTAAGATACGTTTGATATATAGTATGTATAAGTAACTTTTACTGTTAGGTACTAAAATACAAATCTTTTAAAAATATTGAATTACTTTTTCCGGTACAAATATTAACCAAGTAACCACACGCTTATTAAACACAACATAAAACCACTTGAATACGTTTTTACCAGTCCATAAAAACAGCACTCTTTGAGATCAACAGAAATTAATAATTGAAAGCCAATGAGCCAGCGGAAACAATTACCCATTTTACTCCCAATTTCATTGCATGATGATGGCTCAGTGCTCAGTTGAATAATTTCTTCGAATTTCACATTATTTAATTACCAATAAAATGTGCCAACTGTGCTCTGCCTCTGTGAGCCTTTTAATTGTTTGTTGCCGAAGTCTGAATGCAACTGCGGATTGATTTCGTAACAGGCCGCAGAAACGTGCTCTAAATAAAGCAAAATGCACCGCCGACGGGCAACTTTAAGCACCAACAACTTTCGTTATATGTTGCGTTTTTTAGCTTCTCTAGCTGGTTTTTATTTGGTTTCTTTTACCCGACCACTCAATTTCCTTGACGGCTTTTCCTCAAATGATTTAAGCTACGCTTTACTTTTTCTGACTCGAATTCAATATTTTATCTTTGGTTTCTTTTCACATAATAAACGCGCTTTTGGCATAATTGCCGCGGCGGTTCGGGGCAGGGGAAATCGTGTGGAGCGGGTCGATAATTATGATGTTGCATTGTTGCTGTGGTTATCGTCATCGCCTGCCACGATAATACGCCGTTTGCCCCGCCAATCTGGAGCCCCTCGAGCCCCCACTCTGGTTTTTCCGCGCTTTCGTGTAATATTTGCTCACAATTATTGCGAGACGACGCAGCCACATAGTGGTTAATGTGCCATTGCTGTTGTTGCTCGGCAGTTGCGGTTGCATGTTGCAATAACAATTTAGCTTTCGCTTTCTAGTAAGGTAAGTCTTTCAATACCCCTTGGTTGTTGGGAAAAGCTGGGATATGGGTTGGGGGAAATTTGGGAACACGAATTTTAATTATCGTAATAATCAAGTAAATACAAATTTATGAAAGGCATAAATATTATTTATATATTTATATTATACACTTATATAATACCATAGAAAATTTATATTAATAAAAAGATACAAAATTTGATTGACTTTGTAGAAAAGTATATAATTTTGTTAACTCTAATTGTTTTTAAATAGGTTCTACGATAGTTATGTATTTCTTGTAATGCTCTCATTTCAATACCACTTTGAGAAGGGACATTTTGAATACTATAAATGTAATATAAGCGATACAATGTAATTTTTACCCATTTAATGGGTATCGGCTTCTTCGGTAATCCTGTTGCGGTTCTCGCGCAGATCGGTTTTAATTGTGACTCATTTGGCGAGGGGCGCGACATGAAAGTCAATGCGCCAGCGGATGCAACATGCAACACGAGTGGGCTGCAAACAGCGGAATACGGTTGCGGTGGGGTTGGGATGGGGATGGTGTGGGGCGTATGGGGTATCGCTGGACTGGGAGCGATTAGAGCTGGATCTGGTTGGAAGAGTTGTGTGCGACACTCGTACTCGTATGGCCCATTGCCGTTTTCCGCAAGTGCCACACTGCCATTCTATGGCTTCATTTCGCAGCGCTTGCATTTTACGACCATCGATAACTGAGCCCGGTGAAATTTCAACTACTGTTAAAGTTATTGGGAGTGTGTGGAACCAGTCGAGTAAATTGGCTAAGAAGTGGGAACATTTTAACTTGGACTAGCAAATAAATATTAGCTTTGTTTTTATTAAGAGAAACCAACGTGTTTAGTATTAATGAAATACTTATTTCCAAATATTGTGTTAATATTTTTTTAAAACCTAGTGAAAACTTATTTAAGCTGCTAAGTCGTTTATATTTGTACTAATATTTTATATCGCTGCCAAAGTTCTTAATTATTCGCCCATTACAACATGCTCTTGTCATTATTTTTCCCATTTTGATAATTAAATAAGCAGTTTTATTGAAGTGCAGTCAGTGCAGCATATTTCGTTTTATTCAAATCCATTACGCAGTAAAGTTTTTCATTCAAAGTTTTAATAACACGGAAATGCCGGGAGAACCCGAAAGCAAACGTAGTCCCCAAAACCCACTTCACGCACCCGAAAAAAATGAGAGACCCAAAGAAAAACAAATGAGCAAAGGATTAAAAAAGTTTCCTGCCTTCTGCTTTTCCCGCCTTTATTAATTTTTTCCCAGACTCGCTGGGTGAATTCAATTTAAATTTAATTACTTCAAATGCAAACTTTTGACACATATTCGCGGGGCGGGGCAAGTCAAGTAAGTCGACTTATTTGTCTGGCAGTCATTTAGCCGTTTCCCTGATTTAATTGTAAAGTCTACTCAGCAATTGCCCCGCGGTCCTTGGCTAATCAGATCAACATTATTAGCTGGGGCCACAAAGCAATTGCAATCCTTTTTCTCCGCCCTTACAGCTTTTCCTCCCCGTATGAATTTTCCCATTCGGAACCCGTTTTCATAACAATTTGTCGTCTCATTGATGTTTGCCCTCTGCTCAGAGCTGTTCTTGTCTGATATTAATCCGATTGTCTCCGACATAATCTTCCCGGCCGTCTGTAGTTGTGGGTGTTTGCATGCGAGCATGTTTATGAATTGTTTATAATGCCATCGGAGGATAATGTCTGAGCATATTGTAACTTTTGTCATGTTGACTTTGACAAGGCGCCTGTCTATAGTTCTGCCTTGTTAATTTAAAGAAGGATTAGCCAAGTTGCTTTAGCAATTAAAAACATATCTTAAATTGCTTAGTTTCAATATTCAAATAAATAAATGGATTATCTAGATAAATTATGTGTCAATAAACAAGTGTAAAGGATTAACTGCATTACTTCAACAACAAACATTGTTAATTTGTATCATATAAACAAAAAATACTTACTTAAATTTAATTTAATTAAATACATTTATATATTTTTAGACAGATTATTAAAGATTATATCAAATATTGTTTCACAACATAAAATTAAATTCTCACAATGTAGACTAAATAATTTAATTTTGAAAACTTAAAGCTAGTGAATTAAAGGCTGAACCCTCGACTTTCCAGACATTTTCGGGATGTGTGAGCATGCCAGAGAGTGACTTTCTGCCGCCGGAAAGGCGGAAAACCCGGGATCGGCGGCAGAAACTTACAAGAAGGACGAAGGACTCGCCGGGGCGGGCCAAAGTAACATGTTGGCATTGTCTAGAAACTTACAAACATGACATTAAATGTTGCCCCTTCGCAGACGCAGGAGCAGGTGAAAGGAGCAAAGGACCAGGATACAGGCTGGAAAAGTTTTGGTGGCACAGCTGAGGAGATTTCCCGGCGTTGCGTATACGCCACCGTTGCCATTTAAATGCCTGCAGACGCGGCAAACTTCTGCCACCTATGGGAATTTCATTTGTTGTTCATTTTTAAGCAGTTCGCGATTTGAATTTGCCGTGTTTTTTTGCTTTCCCGTCCGCTCCTTTGTTTTATTCGCTGGCAAAAAGGACAAAGAATGCCGCAGTAAATTTACACAATAAAATCTTAAGAGGTCCCCCGGGAAAACGGAGGAAGCAAGAAACTTCAGGGGCAAAACTTTCCCACATGGAGGGGGTAGGCAAACACACCTGAAATACATAAGAACTACTTGGATCTGCACTTGAACAATACCTGGGCATATGTTATGAGGCAGAAGCTCTCGCCATTTGACCGGAAGTTCGACAAAGTTCAAATTGGGGGGAAACCAATGGATGGCCGCTGCTCCTATTCATTCGTTTTTGCAAATAAATGAACCGTATACTAAAACAAACAAATTCAATTGAATCGCTCTCCTGGGCATTACAATTGAATGTGCCAGGGCTTTTCTTCCCACTCACCACACCCACCCACACACCCACCCGTTGCGAAAGGAAAATCTAATGAAAATGTTCAATTTGCTGCAAACAAACAATGCCACGCAGGAAAATCCAAACAACAACAGACAGCAAGAAAATATAGGG